ATGGGTCAGCTCAGGATGCTGAGGGACCTGCTGGGTAGTCAGGACATCCAATCGGTGTTTCGATTGAGCGATGAATGGTAGTGCTTTTTCCAGCACTGAAGGATGCCTTCTTCGTCTTTAATTAAGGAGTTACCATCGGATAATCGGAGGGGGGCTGCGCTAAGAGTGATGGGCCCATAAATTTTTTTAGTGGAATTGAAAAACTCGTGCATCTTGTGTCGATATACAAGTTTTTGCATTTCACATACTTTATATTTAAACCAATCATTCTTTAGTTTGCGAAGTTTCCACTGGGCCGCCTCTGTCTTCTTGGGGAAGGTATCAGCTTTGGTCCGAGACTAAGGGATGTTCTGCCACTCAGTTAAAGCAGCAAGTTTATCATCGACGAGTACATTGATTTTCGGGTAATTTTCAGCTAACCAATCCTGGTGTATTCTTTCTATCTGGCCGAGGGTCTCTGCAGCGTTTTGTCAAGACAGTGTTGAGAATATCCCATTCGGCACTGGGATTTGGGTTGTTTGTTGTCGGGTTGTTTATCAGCTCATGTTTGAGTTGCTCTCTCAAAGCATGTGCTACCACTACATCCTCCAGACACTAAGTGTTATAACCTCTTCTGAAGGCTTGTTTCCTTCGCTGTTTTGGGGCAACATGAAGTGAGAGCTTGGCTCTGACGAGCTGATGATCAGTGTAGCAATCTCTTTCACTGACAATAATGGAGTCAATGAGATGCCAGTGTTTGAATCGTGGGTGTTGCCACGATCCCTTGAACTTGTCGGCCTGCCTAAACAAGGTATTGGTGATAGTGAGGTTGTGTGCAGCACACTTGCTGAGGAGGAGTAGGCCGTTTGGATTACACTTGCCTAGTCCATTTCTCTCTATGGTTCCCTGCCAAATGTCAGCATCTCTGCCAACTCTGGCATTGAAGTCACCCAGGAGCGCAACCTTATCTTCTCTGTGGACAGAGGTTAGCATTCTGTCGAGGTCGGCGAAAAAGGCTTCCTTGATGTCATCCTCTGCGTCCAGTGTTGGGACATATACACTGATGAAAAAGGCATAACATGAGTGATTCAGTGAGACTCAGAGCGTCATGAAACGCTCGTTGATCCCAAAGGCATTTCAGTTTGCCTATGTAGGATGCATTGGTGTAGGGCAAAGCCAACTCCATAAATGCAGTTTCTCTCCGCAACAGGCTTACCCTTCCAGAAGGTGTAGCCAGACCCTCGTTCTGTGAGTTGACCCTCATCTGGGAGCCGGGACTCACTAATGGCTGCTATGTCGATGTTATACCGAGCCAGTTCTTTTACCACAAGGGCAGTTCTTCATCCAGGACGCTCATTTGTGCCAGTATCCAGAAGGGTCCTGACATTCCATACAGCGACCATAAGAGGCTATATAGTTTGTTTTTGTTTTGATCTGTGATTGTGATTGTGTTTTCGACACATAAGGATGACCTTACTGGGTGCGGTTGCCCAGTCAGGTTGGTTTTTAGGCAGGCCATGTTTAGGGCACCTTTTCTAGCCCCCTCCCCATGTGGGGTGAACAGAGTGGATCCTCGAGAGGGCTGCTCAGTCGCATAGACAGAACCGGATTGCCTTGCTGCCTAGATCCCAGTGCATAAACGACCATCTTATCTGTGCCACCCAAGTGCAGAGTTGTGACAAGAGACTCCCGGCAGTCATCTCTGCCTGTCCCCGTCACCACTCGTCCGTCGCCATTGGCCTTTTGGGGGTATAGGGGTTTTGATGATGAGGAGTATGATGAGCTGGGTGATGGCTGTGCGTGAGTAGATTTACGTGGTGAGGCAGGAGCGCAGGCTGCAACCACACATCTTGGCTCTCCCTTTTCCTGATCCAGTGTTTCTTGGGTTTCGCCTTAGTAGCCAGTCCATCAAGCATTGTCTTCATGTACCGGTGAAGTCATTAGGTTCCCATGTTGGTCACCACTTCTGCCTATACCGCTGCTGGAGTCTTGTTGGAGCTCTGTAAGCATGTCTGCCTGATGCGGGGCTCCACCGCAGATTTTTCATTCAGGGTTTACTCCCGTAGCCTTTTAGCTATCAAGGTTAATCAGCAAGGCAACGGAGCAGTGGTTGGTTGGCGCCAGGAGGTGTCCACATGCCAGTGGGCATATGAGCTGTCCATCTGGGACCCACTACTATTCCGAGATCCCCCTGGTCACACACACACACACACACACACACACACACACACACACACACACACACATAAGATGCACCATTAGTATGTGGTATAGTTTACCTCCCCAGGGCTGACAGCCCCGTCAGGTGTCAGGTGAGAGAGAAGAGAGAGAGAGAGAGTCCAACAATCTTATTTTGTTCTTATTATCGTTCTATCTATCTCAACTTGTACTCTCTCTCTCTCTCACACACACAAACACACACAACTCAGAATCAAATTCGTTTACAATCTCCGCCTCAGCTCGTGGTCAGCAGGATAAGTACGGACCCAGCAGTAAAGTGTTGATCATGGGGCCACTACTGATGCGTGTTGTTACGGAGTGTGGCAATCTTTATCTCTCGTTTAATGTTAGGAGGGAGGGGTGCTGGGGAGGGGGTGTTGGGTGAGGGTGTTGGGGTAAAAGGAGGGAGCCAGGGAGGGGTGTTGGGAGGGGTGCCAGGAAGGGGGTTATGTGCTATGAAAAAGTGCCAGGGAGTAATGCCAAGGAGAGGTGCCAGGGAGGGATGCCAGGGAGGGATGCTACGGAGTGGTGCTAGGGAGAGGTTCTAGGGAGGGGATGCCTTGGTTCTATACGTGGGAATTGATTTTGCTATTTATTGCAAAAAAGTGGATACAATCTTAATATGTCAGCTATCTTGCCATTAGAGATGAAGTGTTGTGCCATTTCACACTCACTGTGCTTGGACCTGTCCCTAAAAGGTTCTATCTTCACACAGCCGAGGACGTAGTGTTCAAGTGTGTGGCCATATGTCTGGCCACACACTTTACATTTAATCTTGTTTACATCTGCTTGAGGAACATACTGCCAGAGGTACTTATATCCTAACCTTAATCTATGGTTACAACATCTTGTAATTTGTTAGTGATGCAGAGGGGAGAAAGGTGGGGAAGGGTGTTGGGAGGTGTTGGGGGGAGGTGTTGGGAGGGGCAGTTGGGAAAGGGGTTGAGAGGTGATGAGGAGGGTGATGGGAGGTGTAGGAGGGTAATGGGAGGTGTTGGGGAGGGGTGCGTGAGAAGTGTAGTCAGAAGATGCGCCAAATCTTGGTGTCTTTTTACTTTCACTACTTTCTCCTCTTTTACTTTCTTTACTTTATCTCTCTACTTTTTTACTAGTCTCTACTACTTTACTTTGTCGAGTCTCTACTTTCTACTTTACTTTCTCCAGTTTTTGCTTTCTACTTTACTTTCTCAAGTCTTTACTTTCTACTTTACTTTCTCCAGTCTTTACTTTCTACTTTACTTTCTCCAATCTTTACTTTCTACTTTACTTTCTCCAGTGTCTCCACAAGATGGATTACCTCCACAACTTTCAAATTACAAGAAAATACCGCCAGAAATTAACTCTCTCCAACTTTTAATGTCTTCTGTCTGTCTCTCTGTTACTCTGCCTGTCTCTTTGTCTGTTTGCCTGTCTATTTTTGTCTCTGTCTTCTGTCTGGCTGTTTGTTGTTTGTTTGTCCGTCTGTCTGTCTGCCTAGGCCTATATTTCTGTTTGTCTGTCTGTCTGTCTGTCTGTTTTTTCTCTATCTTGCGTTACTATCATTTATCTCTTCAGAAATGTGTGTGTGTGTGTGTGTGTGTGTGTGTGTGTGTACGTGTGTGTGTGTGTGTGTGTGTGTGTGTGTGTGTGTGTGTGTGTGTGTGTGTGTGTGTGTGTGTGTGTGTATGTGTGTGTGTGTGTGTGTGTGTGTGTGTATGTGTGTGTGTGTGTGTGTGCGCTGGATGTAGAGAGAAAATGAAGGAAACGGTAGGAAAAGCGAGAGAAAAATTAATAACAACAATAATAATAATAATAATAATAATAATAATAATAATAACAATAATAATAACAATAATAATAACAATAACAATAATAACAATAATAATAACAATATTAATAATAATAATAATAATAATAATAATAATAATAATAATAATAATAATAATAATAATAATAATAATAATAATAACAATATTAATAATAATAATAATAATAATAATAATAATAATAATAATAATAATAATAATAACAATAATAATAATAATAATAAGGTTCATGTCGTCAATATAATTCAATAAAACATCTAATTTGATCAAATATTCAATCAATAAAATAAAATAATTCTTCATATCCTCAACAAAAAACTCCACAAAAGAACACATTAACTTCATATGAAAAATCACCAATAAAAACAGCCAATAACAAAACAATAACAACGAGCAATAAAAAGTAAATAAAAATCCAATAAGGAAGTTTTATTCAGAAATGACTATTGAGTGTGCTACTTCCGCCTCCGTATCTCCTTTATTTATTCAGTGTCCCAATTCCAATTTATGTTTGTTTGTTTTCCTTGAGTACACACGCTGGTGTTTGGGGGAGAGGTTGGAGAGGGGTTGAGAGGGAGAGGGGGAGTGGAGGGAGGGAGGAGAGTTGGGAAGAGAGGGCCAGTGGTGATTGGTGAGAGCGAGTGTGAGGGTGGTGGTGAGAAAAAGTAGAGAGGGGGAAGGTTAGAGAGGGTGAGAGGAAAAGGAGGAGAGAGAGAGAGCAGGTAACGTCTTCAGGCTAATTATTTCCTCTTAGGTAAATCTTCCTCACTTAAGGTAATCTTTAAATCTGTCTCATGACCCTTGAACCTGTATCTTTACCTATACCTGTAATAAAATGATACGGTGTTTTGTACCTGCTCCTGTAATCACTGTAATAATTAGGTACTGTACTTTTACGGGTGGAAATGGATTTGTACCTGTTATTATGAATATTTTTACCTGTATTTCTACCTGCACCTGTAATCACTGTAATAACCAGGTGTTGTCTCATTACAGGGGTGGCTGGTTCTGTACTTCCATGGGTGGACGTGGAGTTGTCACGGCCTTTGTTGGCTGAAACGCCGCATGGCCTCACGCCGGGTTGACGACCTCTCCCTGCCCCTCACCGCCCGCTACGACCACGATCTTGCCCATCAGCCCCTCCTCCAGCCCCACCCACACCCACCCACGCCCACTCCTAACACCGTCACTGTGGCCCCTCCACCACCCACCACCCCACCACAACCACCCAACCCAGAGGAGTTCCCCCTCCAACCTCTCTTCCCACACCATGAGCGACGTGAAGCTTATTGAAACCCTCTGTGGCTTGAGCTTCAAAAGACACAAACGCTACGTAACCGACTGAATCCCTCTGCGGCTTCAGCTTTAAGGGCACAAACGCCATGAAACCGACTGAATTCTTTAAAGCTTCGGTTTCAAGATGATTTAAAACAAACAAGCTTCACCTCCTCTCATCAAGAAAGCCGTGAAGCCTCGACATTAAGAAGAATCGCGGCGCATCACTACACAGAGGCTGCACAGAGCTTCCCCGAGGCTTGAGTCAGCTGGGGGGGGATGCTGATGTAAGCTTCGAGACGACAAGAACACGACAAATCAACGACTCTTCACTAACAGTGTATCACGACCAACACCTCGCGGAGATCTTAGCTAAGTGATAGTGTGGCATTATGGCACAACGCGAAACTAAAAACTAAAAAAAAAAAAATAACAGCAACAAGGCAATAAAAGAAGGTACCAGTATTGCATTTATATTAAGCCTTAGACAAAAACTTTATAAAAAATGGCAATATTGTTAAAATAAGGAATAAGAAACATTATAATATAGCACAAACCAAGTGATACTATCTGGGTAATATAACACTAACGATGAAGTAATGACACAGCAATATATCACTAACCATAATAAACTGACCATCACAATATAGCACAAACTATGATACAATGTCGTTACAATATGTTGGCGCTACAAGATGTCCTAAACTAAAATATGATGACATTAAAATATGGTACCAATAATAAAATAAAAGTGAACAGCGTATTAAGTCAATGAACCAATTTGACACTTGAACACAACAATACGACACAGAGCCCTATGTTCTATTGATTTACCCAGCATATTAACGCGTCTGTCTCACAACTGGTGGCAGCGTCTGCCAGGGAAGTGTCACTAGTTGTTTACTTATGGCCAGGACAATGCCACTAGTTATCTACTTAGGACTAGGACAGTGCCACTAACTGTCTGAAGGACCACGACAGTGACATTTATTAACTTAACAACACCAGGACTTCAAAGAAGTCCCATTTACTAAGACTTAGAAGGTGCCAGTGTCAGGGAAGTACAATTAACTTATTAAGGCTCAGACGATGCCATTGTTAAGTGTCACTTAAAAAGACCTAGATTGTGTCGGTACCAGGGAAGTGCCACTATCATTTACTAAGTCCTACACGGGGCCAACACGAGGGAAGTGCCACATACTTACTGGCACTCTGTACACAACAATACCAGAGACCAGGAAACATGTTGGACTTATCACAAAAGTCTTAATATTGACTTGTGAACTTTGTCATCACTGGAGTCCCAGATATGTGTCTCCTTATTCGTGTGTGAGTCCCGACGCCACACCGGCTAATTCACTGACATTTTCTTCTCTTTTCGATGTTCTTCGCCCAAGAAAACTCTTACAAACAATAAAAAGAAAACAAAATTACAGTAAATTTGCTGATGTGACGTCACAACACACCTAGCAACCAATCAACTTCAACGAATTGTAATGGTTACTAAGGAAGCCATAAATGGGCGGAGTTTGGTGGACAGTTAACATGACATCCAGGAGCCAGAGAGATGTCCAGTCAGATAATGCCTTCAATATATGACTGTATGATGTAATATGTTTGTGTCTACTGTATACTTATAGTTTAGATCATAGCCTCATGTTTGGCCTGTACTCTTCACTAGGTTATATAAGTCGTATATCACTATATGCTCTGCTTATATGGTTTAGATTATAGATATATGTGATTACCTTGTGCTGGTTTATATTTCAGATTAATAGTTAATTCTATTTGTTGATGATTATATAACGTTTATTATAATGAACTGAGAATATTAATATATTGTGAAAACACACACACACATATATATATTTATATATATATATATATATATATATATATATATATATATATATATATATATATATATATATATATATATATATATATATATATATTAAATAATATCGGGGATTGCTAGGTCATCTAACGCTCCGAGTCACTTAACCTGTGACCAGAATGAAAGAGGTCATTCATTACCTCTCAGTAGGGACGTCACTCAACCGTGGACTGAGAAAGTCACTGGCAGCCCTGAAAAGTGAGGTCGACCTCCAGCAACACGAGGTCGACCTTGAGTGAGTTCAAACGTGATGGCTTCCAGATACTGTACAGATAGTACTTGTGTGCCAAAACTAATGTAAATGAGAGAGTTCCAGTCATCCTTCCCTCTTCTCTCTCTATCAACCTCTATCGTTCTCCCATTTTCTCTATCTCAATCTACCAATCTCCATCTCTCTATATCTACCTTTCTCACTATATTTCTATCTCTGTCTATTTTCTCCCTCACTTTCTCTTTCTTTCGACATTATCTATTTTTTGGTTATTCCTCCATCACTGCTGGAGCACCAACCAACAAGGCGACTAAGACTGCTTCACCAAACCAAAGTCATTATCGTGTAATAAGCGATCGATCAACTTTACCACATGTAAACAAAGAACTACCCTTGCTACCTCTCCCAGATTATTCGGCCAATGAAAGGACACGAGACAACCTACCTCAACACGCTCAGCCAATTGTAAAACCTGAGAGAAATCTGCTTCCAAAACGCTTAACCAAAGAAAAGAACTGAAATATCATTGGCGAAACCTTTCTTCCAGGAATATATTTTGTTCTAAATGATGATATTTCACTTGGATCTTACAAACTGCCTTACTCAACATTTGCTACGGTAACCATACAAGATAGATGAAACTGACGGACTTATGTTTAATTCTTAAATAAAAATATACGTCATTAATGCGGTAAGTTATCATCTAACTTATATCTACACTTGGCAACTGTAGCTTCAGGAGTTTTAAAATCTCTCGCTTGTCGCTATTTAAATTAGTATGACTGAGGTGATTGCGGGGGATGGTGTCGCCACTGAAAGACAATAATTAAAATTGACCTTCAGTTAAAAGTCTCCAAAACTTGATGTAATATATGTACAAACTGATGACGTCATGAAACATCTGGTCTTGACATTTTCTGGAGATCATCATGACCAGCTGACGTCATCACCACGACCAGACCAAAGTACGACCATGGCCAGCTGACGTCATCACCACGACCAGACCAAAGTACGACCATGGCCAGCTGACGCCATCACCACGACCAGACCAAAGTACGACCATGGCCAGCTGACGCCATCACCACGACCAGACCAAAGTACGACCATGGCCAGCTGACGCCATGGCCAGGCCAGCTGACGCCATCACCACGACCAGACCAAAGTACGACCATGGCCAGCTGACGCCATCACCACGACCAGACCAGTACGACCATGGCCAGCTGACGCCATCACCGACCAGACCGACCAGCTGACGCCATCACCACGACCAGACCAAGTACGACCATGGCCAGCTGACGCCATCACCACGACCAGACCAAAGTACGACCATGGCCAGCTGACGCCATCACCACGATCAGACCAGACCGAAGGACCCCAGCCAAAGAACGACCATGACCAGTTTACGCCATTACCACGACCACACCAAAGACCAGCTCCCCCCCTCAAAAAGACCTTGGCTGGAGGTGACGTCTTTTATTGCCCGTAAGAACCATAACACGAATCAGTGACTAGGACAAAACCATAACAACACCATCGTACCCTTATGGCCGCATCTTGTTGACAAACGCCTACAGTCTCCACTCTAAGTTGTGTCATGATCTGATCCAAGCGAAAACGTAATGTGGAGTCGTCAGATGCTGGTGTGTCTTAGTCAGTGGTCACGAGGCCTCCCTGATGAGTCTTCCTAGTTAATGAAGATGTAAGAATGGACTAAAACTGGTCGAGTTCAGCTAAGACTCACATAAAACATTCATATATGACATCAGAATTACACTGAGACTCTACTTTAAATAGACACGATCCTTTAAAATTACACTGCGACTCTACCTTAACTTGACACGATCACAAGTTACATAATCTTGTATATCTAAATCTGTATCTCGCATTTTTATATTAATTTGTTACTTTGAGTCAAGAGGTTTCGTGTTTTCTTAAATCTTCACTTAATAGGAATATTCACCATAAGAGCTTTTAAAAATGAGGATTCGACTCAGATGTACAGCTCTTCAAGAAACGACCTTCACCGTCGCTCAAGCCACAACTGTAACTTAAACCAAAATAAGTACTGTACGACCTCCGAGTGATGCTCAGGTCGTCACAATCGGAAATGCTCACGACAACTCAAACAGAAGAAAACTAAAACGACTTACTTATGAAATGCTTCCTTAAAAGTATTATATAACTTCATTTCATCTCACTTTCATAATAAACACAAAACGCCAAGCAGTATTCATGTCTCTGACGATCATTGATAACTTATTTACTTGTGGTCAACGCCTTACCCACACCGGGATAAGGTCTGGTTAACTGTTCTCTAGTGGTAGTTATAAATAAAAAACCTCAAGGCTAATGCCTAGAAGTTTTTTTTGTATTTGTATAGAAGAAAGAAGAAAAAAAATCATATAAAGGTAGCGATTTCCATTTCCTGAGTGATGATTGGTTGGCTTCTCATCCAATCAGTATTCAGGGACTCAAGCTCCACGGGAGACTCATCCAATCAGCATTCAGGACACGAGCTCTCCAGGAGTATATAAAGGTGATGGGTGCCTCAACCCACGGTAGTCAGTCTTCGAAACCCGTTTATATACACTTCAGGACCTTAGTAGCGAATAATGATTTTATAAGTACCGTGTTTCTTTTAATTCCTATATATATATATATATATATATATATATATATATATATATATAGTTTGAAGCTAATCTATTGTGTGTGCTAAACTAACTAAAACGTAGTCGTGTATATATATATATATATATATATATATATATATATATATATATATATATATATATATATATATATATATATATATATATATATATATATATATATATATATATATATATATATATATATATATATATATATATATATATATTAGCGTAAAGTTTCATGTTCTTTAATTAGTAAACTGTTTCCATCCAAAAAATTGCTCTAAGCTCACACGGTGAGAGAGAGACCGGCAGCAGCAGGTGGTGACTTACATGTGATAACGTTTGCCGTGAACCCCGCCACCACCACGCTGGTCCTGCTCTTTTATATAACATTATATATAATATTACTTCATATATTATATAATATATGGTAACATGATGTATGTATATATATATATATATATATATATATATATATATATATATATATATATATATATATATATATATATATATATATATAACATTTATCATATAAATATACATCATGCAATATATAATGATTATCATACAGTACATGATACGGAATTATATTACAATATACGTGTTATATAATAAACACCATATGCATACTATATGATACATATAAAACATGGTATATTACAAAT